AGCAGAGTGGGGGGGGGGGGGGTGTGAAAACGAAAATATTGTCGACAACGCAAACTCACATGGGTCTAACAGATAACATCCATCCATACACACAAACAAGTTAAAATGACATTACAGAAAAGGAAATCAATACAAAACTAATCAGACAAAGCATCTACAAACAGATGTTTCTGTCTCCAAATCATTTAAAATCACTTTAAAAACACCAAATACTATGAAAAAAAATGGAATAAAATTAAATCAGGACCAGCAGGTTCTAAAACAATACAAATAGAACTTAAAGCCTCACCAGAGGCAAAAAAAAAAGCACTTTAAATCATCATGATTTAATTCATAATTTTTTAACAAGTTAAAAAAAAACTTTCATAAATTTAAATTAATGATTAATGGGTTTAATGATTTTGTTTTTAATTATTAAAAATACACTTTATATTATTATTATTATTTCAGTTGTTTGAGTGAATATGAACAAATATTTTGCCCTAAAAAAATTTATATATATATATATATAAAAAGTTTTTTTAATTCTAGAAATTCAAATGTACATCAGTACAAATACTACCACAATTTAACAATAGTCAAATAAATACATAAACAAATCTTCATAATTGTAATGTAATGATTGATGAGTTTAATGACTTTTAAATGATTAAAAATGCACTTTTCATGTTTTTAGTTATTAATTATTTGGGTGAATACCAAAAAAAAAAGCTCTAAAATAAGAAGTACATATTTTACTTTACAACATTTTTTTATTTAATAAATTCAAATTCATCAAGTCAGTACAAAAACTGCCACAATGTATAAATTCTTTACAAAAACTCTTCCATAAACTTAATTTGAGTGTAATGATTTTTAAATTATTAAAATGATTTTTTTTAATAAGAAAAAAGTTAATTATTTGAGAATTATTTTTTCCCTTAATATAAAAAATAAGAAATTATTTATATATTTTTAAATGCAATAAATGTAAGTCAGTACAACAAATACTACCACAATGCACAATACTTTATATATGTGTGTGTGTGTGTGTGTGCACATGGGTGCAGCTCTCTACAGGACAATATAACAGTGTATAAGCACTGGTCTTACACACTCCAGGCGGTCTGACTCTGAAGGCTGGAGCAGGCAGCTGCTTGGCAATTGTTTCCTGAGCGTCACAACATTTCATGCTTTAACCCTCACTGCCAAACCTCCACCTCCATGTGTGAGCGCTAAAGACAGAGATGAACTGATCTGAAGAGGAAGCAGTATTTTAATGATCCTGCTACGTGCGGCGCGTGAGGGAGGCCGAGACCGAGGAGATGAGCTCGAGATGGGTAAACACATCTGTCACTGCCTGAGAAAGTGTGAGGTCCGTCGCACAAAAGGACAGGATACTAGATAAAAAAATGATGATAAATCACGGCTTCAGGTCGCCCGTTGCTGAAACGTGTTCTTGTCGGCGTGGGTCAGTTACGAGGCGAGCACATGGGAGGGGTTTGACTTCAAAACCAAATGACTAAACAAAAACACACGGACCTTCCCCCGTCAGGCCCTTCCACTCACACTTCCCGTAAAAACTCCTGAAAACAAAACGACCGAGACCAGTTCAGCAGATAGTGTGTGCTTCCTCAAGACGGCTTCAGCAACTAATCCATAAATGTCACTCAGTTTGATGATTTTGAAATGATTAAAAAACAAAAACGATTACTTATTTTAGTAATTATGAAAAACAAATTCTCTATTGCATAAATTACACTTAATGATTTTTAAATGACAAAAAATACACATTAAAAAAAAAAAAAAAAAGGATAAATATGGGGGACAAAAAAATTCAACAAATTCATAGTTCCATACATTTCAAAAATATTTTTAAACAATTTATTAATTTGAGTTAATATGAAAAACAAAATCAACAAATTATGTTGCATAAATTTCACTTAATGAATTTATGATTAAAATGATTAATAATACACATTTTTTAAAACGAGTTATTTGAAAATTGCATGAATTTGAAAAACAAAATGAGCATTTCTTAATTCAAACAATTTCACTTAAGGTTTGATTATTAAAAAATATATTTGTTTTTAAATAAGATATTATTTGGATGAATATGAAAAACAAAAGTTCTCAATTCCATAAATTTCACTTAATGATTTTTAAATGGTTATACACCTTTTTTAAAAAAAAGATATGAATGATTTTAAATTATTTAAAAAGAATAATTATAAAAAATTATTTTAATGAATTTTAAATGATTATACGCTTTAAAAAAGATATTAATTATTTGGGTGAATATATAAAACAAAATAACAAATAAGATATTATTAATTATTTGGGTGAATATGTAAAACAAAATCAACAAATTCTCAATGAATTTTCACTTAATGATTTTGAAATGATTAAAAATAGCAGCTTAATCAACAAATTCAAAATTGGCTTCTTTAAAACTCACATTAAAGTCAATTGTTACTCTGATGTCTGGAATACTTGATTCTGATTGGTCAATCCAGGCACTAGGTTTTCAAATATTTATGTATAATGAATTTTATACACATTGTATACTTAAGTTCAAATCACTATTTCACGTCCATGTATTAATCAAATATTTTCCAATTAATGCATTAAATTATAAAGCATTTTTACAAGGACCTTTTTTATAAAATTAGGTTCTTTTGACCATCAGAAAGGCCACATGCTTCGTACTGGAAACTGGATTATTGAACGTCACATATGCGGCTCAAAAGCACAGCTCTGACTCACACGGGTGAATGTGCCGCAGCTAAATGGCAGGCGGCTCTCATGGACGTGTGGAAGATAACGTACACTTGGGCTCTTACTATAAAGGATGTGTTTGTGTGGGTGTAGTGGCCATTGCTTCATCCTAGCACTGTCATTCTTCCGCATTCCTTACAGCCCCATTAACAGGCCGATCCGGCCGCTGAGGGCTTTTGTTTACATTCCAGCTGGTTTGAGCCGATGTCGGAATATTAAGAGAGTTCCTGCCCTCTGAACCATAAAACCCCAACAGCAGGATCGCTCGTTAGTGAGGAGCTGTTCACACGGACTGTCATATAATCTTCAAAACACCATCTAAAATACCTCTACATACAAGAGTCCAAACGGCTGATAAAACATCACGATAATCCACAGCACTCCAGTCCATCAGTTCACATCTGGAGAAGACAAATTACGATTTTAACCGTTGTTTCCCGCTAACATACAAGTCCTCTATCCATAATATTGCTTTCTGCAGTGAAAAAGTGGTCTGGTCTGAATCGGGTGAGTTATTATGGACTCATATTTTTCCAGAAGTGGCAGTTTAAAGTTAAAATCACCTAATGATGGATTTGTTTCTTAGAAAGATGCAGCTTTTGTCTTCACTAGTCGTTAACTGATGGACTGGAGTGGTGTGGATTATTGTGATGTTTTTATCAGCTGTTTGGACTCTCATTCTGACGGCACCCATTCACTGCAGAGCATCCATTGCTGAGCTAGTGATGAGATACTAAATTTCTCCAAATCTGATGAAGAAACAAACTCATCTACATCTTGGATGGCCTGAGGGTGAGTATATTTTCAGCAAATTTTCATTTTGGATGAACTTTTCCTTTAAAAGAACCTTTTTTTTTCTTATTCTGAAAACATTTTTAAAAAGTCTAGAGAACCTTTTTCACTAAAAATAACTTTTTGTGCAATGGAAAGGTTGTTAAAGT